CTTCCGATCTAAAATCTATTTTTCTAATCCTTTTTGAATCATGCATACACATATCATAAATCATTTGGTTCAATTGATTTTAAAAGGAATTATTTAACATGCTCCCCTTCCCTCCCTTCTTTCTCGAAATTTATATATATGCTAACCTCTGAAAGATAATATCCTTTAACATCTTCATTTAATTCTTGCAATAATTGAGTAACAGACTCTGCTCGATTTTTTCCTATGCAATCTGTATCAAGAAAAAATGTAATTCCTACATCTGATCCTTCAACGATCTTGTTATCAACAACTGTAAATGATCCAATGCCTAAATACAACAGCAAGGTTAATTCAACAAGGGAACTGAAAAAAGGGCGTGGGGAAATTTAAATATTACTTTACCAGGTAAAACTAAATCTTTAAGAATTTCGCAACCTGTTGAAGTGCCATTGATAAGACAAACTTTAGCAGTCTCTAATGCCAATTGACCTTCTGATTGCCATAAGCTTTTTAATGTTTTTGTTAATTTTTGAAAGATAAAAATAAAAAAACCATAAACATATATATTGAAAGCTTACCGAAGTTGACGATCATATTTTTGTGTTTTTTTATCAATATTCATTTTTATTATTATTATTTTACCTTTAAATTTTTTTCCTCGTCTTTTTTTGATTCAAAAAAAGTTCTCTATTGAAAAAAAATGTCAATATTTAGTTGTACAAACAAACAATCTCTATTTGAATTAGAAATTTACAATAAAAAATAAAAATGCGCGTTTTTTTTTTATTTTCTTGAATAACACACTACCTATCTACCATATTTACTTACCATTAGTTTGAGAGAGTGCGTAACAAATAAATAATACTTGATATATCTTTAATTTTTAACAAACAAACACTACATAATACAGTAGTAAATAAGGGAATTACTACGAGATAAATCATTTGATGATCTTCAATTCTTTTCAATTCTTTTCAATTTTTTAAAATTAAAAAAAGAAAAAAAGAAAAAAAATGTTTTATGGACATTACGTTGCTGCATGGGTTGTAAAGAATCTTGAACCAAAAATACCTCTTTGGGTATTAATGACTGCTGCTCAGGTTATATTTTACTATGTCATATTATTTATATCATATTATTTATATTAAAGTTATATTATACTATGCATTATTACAGTTTGTTGATTTAATTTTTAGTGTTTTTCTTGTGCTTGGTATTGAAAAAGGTAAGAAATTGTTGATAAAGAAAGGAATTTATAGTGTTGGCGAAAGATGAAAAATAGAGGAGATTTTAAAATTTAAAATATATTCATTCAATTTCTCTTTCTTTTTAATTAGTCCAAGGATCTCATGGAAAAAACCAAGATCATCATCTTGATTTAATAAAAATAAATTATACACATTCATTACTTGGTGTGATCTTATGGAGTGTACTATTTGGGACCTGGTATAGATTTTTCTCAAAATATACATCATCATCACCAGGTGTTGGTCGTGGTGGCAATAATAATAAAGCAGCTATTCTAGTATCATTAGTAGTTTTATCTCATTGGTTTGAGGATTTATTGGCTCATAATGATGGTGATTTAATTAACATTAATATCAAAGAATAATTGTTGTTGTTGTTGTGTATGTATGTATGTGATTTATTAACATTTCAAAAAAATTTTTTTTTGTTATTTATAGATTTGTTACTTTTTACATTTGATAATAGTCAACCAAAATATGGATTTGCTTTATGGGATTATCCAGAGTTTTTGCATCCATTAGAATTATTTCTTTTCTTTCTACCATATTATTATTATCTTACCAGTACCACAACCATCGCCAATGATAATCAAGATTTTTGGGCAAGATGGGGACCAGCAATTCTTAGCATTGATTCGATTTTTACATATCTATTAATTAATATTACTAATCCGCCAAAAAACGTTAATGTTATGGGTATTGGTATGCTTTTAACCTATTTCAAAACTATTTTTTTAGCACATAAAGTGGATAAATTTAGAGTTTCTATTAATGATAATATCATTAATGTTAATGATGCTGCTGCTGGTAAAGATGATAATGGAACTAAAAAAATTGAATAATGATTATTGTCTTGGGAAGGGATGGATGGATCAGGTGATTTATATGTAAAGCAAACATAAATAAATATCAGGCAAAATTAAAAAAATCATTTAAATAAAAATTCTTAAATACTAGTATATTTTATTAATGTTCATTAAAATATATAAAGTGATATTAATTGGGGCATGCTCCAACAAAACCAGACAAAGTGAACATTGGTATTAGTATTACCATGAATTTCAGGGTTTAAACATGTTACCATTTATTATTCAACACTTTCCCACATTAAAATAATTTGGTAACAATTATAAAAAAAAAAATAATAAAATGATAAATTTAAAATTTAAAAATTTAGATTTTTTATTACTTTAATTTTTTATTACTTTAATTTTTTATTCAATTTTCAAGAAATAAGAGTCTTATTTAAGATCCTTATAAGCTTTCACCCATTAACTTTAATTCATTAAAAAGTATTAGCAAGTAATGATCTAGCTTGACAGATTTTTGGTACCACCATTCGATATCCTCCGATGTATAGTTCTTATCAATTTTAATGCCATTTATCTCATTATCTTTTCCCCATGAAAATTCGAGCCACCCACAAACTATATTCATTATCATATTAATGTGATTCTTCAACTCTTCTATTTAAAAAATTAATCAGTGATTTTTTTATTAAACCCCCCCCCCCACAAAATTATACAAACCCATTGTACTTGACATTTCCTCTGACTTTATATAACCATCGTACCTGGTAAAAGAGATTATTCATTGATTAATTTTTTTGTTTCCTTAATGGATTTATGAATATCCTGCAAAAATGTTTCACCAATTGAAATCATGTATCTGCATTTAATATAGTAATAGTATGATTTTTTTAGTTGGAAACATCTCAGACAAAAATTTCAAATATTTAGTGATTTCAACTATTTTAAAGAAATTAATTGGCTATTAATAAATGATCAAACTAGGGGGTTTTTTTTTTAAAAAAAAAAATTTATAAAATAATACAAACCTCCAGTCATTATATTATCAGGGATTGTCTCTTCCCAACTTAAATATTTACCACCAGAATTAATGACTGGGGATATATTCTTGATTAAGGTTTCTGGCCCAAACTGTTTTCTCAAAGCCCAAACTAGTTTGGGCAATTTGGGTTCCTCAACATTGTCTATAAGCATGAACATTAAAAAACTATATGAATCAACTTGTTTTAACTTAAACAACTTTAAAATAATTTCACCCAATTTCGGCTAATAACAAAAAGTAGTTTGGGCTTATAAAAAAATAAATTTTGCCCAAAGTATTTGGGCAATTTCAGCTACTAATAGAAGCAGTTTTGGCAAGAAACCTTACTTAATTCCATCAAAAATCATGCTAAGAGTGCCATTGGGTCCTTTTCCTATAATTTCATCTTCATTAAGAACATAATTAATTTGTTCCCTTACTGCTTCATCTTGAATACCAAATAAATGAACTTTACATGGACTAAGGTAATAAATTTTACTTACTTGTTGATCTAAATATGGCACATGAACATTTTGGGCTCAATCATAACTATAATGAGCAATAGCATCAATACTGAAATATTGTGATTTAATCTTTGGATAATGTTGATTAACCAGTTTCTTTGCTCTTCTGCCAATTTGGTGTTTTTATTGTAATAATTTCTTTTTAATTTGGCTTTAAACAGATGTTCTTTAAATCTTTTGAGCAAATCTTTAGCATCTTCTTCTTGGTGAGCATTTTAATGTAAACTGTCTCTAAAATGTTGACAAGTATCACATATGCCAGTCCTGGAACTCATAATTTGAATCTCTGGTGTCAATTGATGTCATAATTTTCTGAAGGCATCATATTTTAAGGATTTCATTTTGCTATCTTCTTCTAGACCAGCCAGAAAACCTCTGTGCGCAGATTTGTAACCCATTTCAGCTGGCAAGAATACAATTTATTAAGTTATTCTATTGGTACTTCTTCCTGGACTTGGTAATCCATGAACTTTTGCATAATTTTCTAGAAAATTCTTTACTACTTCTGCAACATTCTTATCAATCATCATTTTGGTTTTCCATTGAGGCATTCTTTTAATATTGCCATGAGTTCTTGGTAAAGACCATTGTTTATCAGATGGTTTCTAATATTTTCAAAATAAGTTCTACCAACTCCTAACATATTGAGGTAAGTTTCTTGACAAAGAAGTGTATTATGATCCCAACAGTAGAAAGTTCTTTTATTAGATCTGGTTTTCTTCTTAAGATCAGGGCTGGCTGCGTAACTCAAATGAGCACTTGGCTAAAATGACTAAACTATTTAGTCATATGTTAAGTCAAGTTTAGCCAAGTTTAGTCAAGATGATTGTTACTAAATTAGGTTTTTAACCCCTTTATGCTGCCAGCCCTGCTTAAGATATCTGCTAGTGCTTGTCAATCCACCATCCATTGCTTTAAGTTGAGCCATTAAAAATATGTCTTGCTCTGTTTTAGAAGGAGCTTGAAAAGATTCTCTCAATTCTGCAAATTTCTCCTTAGGAATTCTGGAAGAGCAACCACAACCACAACTTTTTTCTAAAAAATCAATTGCTTTTTTATATTCATTAGAACCATTACATTTATTATTACTTTTCATATACACCTTCTTTTTCCTGTGAAAGTTATTCAATGGTGGTGTAAAGGAAATAGTAATGGTGAACAAATGTAAAGAAAATAAATGATATAAAAAGATAAATAAAAATGAAACAGATGACAAGTTTAGTTATAATTGTAAATATTAGTTTGAATATTCTACAGACAAATAAATAAATGGAATGAATGAAAAATAATTTCTTTTTTTTTTTTATGCAATTTGTTCATTACCTTCCCCTCCACTGAATTTCAGCAACTCCTCCATCTGCTTCAACCTATCTTTCATGTTCTTCTTCAGCTCCTTCTCTTCCTCCTCCAGTCTCACCTTCTTCTTCTTGTCTTCTTCGTCAAGCTCTCTCCTCCTCCTCATCTCTATTCTCAACTCCTTCAACCACATTCCATTGTCCTCCCTCTCTTCAAACTCCTTCAACTTTTCTTTTGCCTCCTTGAGCTCGTTCTTTGCAACTTCTAATTCCTTTTCAATTTTCAATTTTTTTTTAAAAATTTTTTTTTGATTGTAATTGTTACAATTAATAGGACCAGGAAAACTCTATTGAATGTCACTGCCAACACTATGATTCAAAAGTACTTTTAAAAAGAGGAAAGGTGACCACAACACTATAATTTGAATTAAATTTAAATCCAAACAAGGAAAAAAATCACGCCATAGGGGTACTGACTACCCATTTTTGGTTAATTATTGTAAATTATTTCTTAAACAGAAAAAATCAACCAATCAACTTTCGAGATTCGCGTTAATATGGTCAGGTGCTTAATTTGGCAGTGACACCCAATAGTTTTCCCAGTTTGACAAGTTTTATTAAATTCGGTTACCTAAAATAATTCAGTTTTATCATAGCTGCTTTTTTTGAATATGAAAAAATAGGGAATGAATTTATGTTGCAACTGATTGCAACCGGTTTTAATTAAACCAGTTCCAACCTCTATTTTGTGATTATCAATTAAAGGTAACAGTGATAGTGGTTAGCTAGCAAAGGAAAGTTTAGGATTGAGAACCCAGTTACACAATCACAACATGAATTGACTCGTTTTTTTTGGATGATGATTTTTTTAAAAAATCCAACATGTGAATTGCATTAGGGTTGGAAATAGAATAGGTTTATTGGGGCCAATGAGTTTTAGTATGGTTCATTGCTATCAATAAAATACTAAATATGGTAAAATGATGCACTGATGACTCTGGATTACGCGATATTTCAAATTTTTTAACTAAAAAAAAATATCTCAGCATTAAAGATGGCACTGCAACTAGGAGAATGCAACTAAGGTTTCTGGTCGAAACTACCCCTCTTAGTAGCTGAAATTGCCAAATCATTTTGGGTAAAAATTAGGCCTAACCTATTTTTTATTAATAGCTGAAATTGGATGAAATTATTTAAATTAAAATAAGTTGATTTACATAGTTTTTTCATGTTTATAAAAAATATTGAGAAGCCCAAGTTATTTTCAAAGCTACTTTTTTTTTCAAAAATAGTTTGGACCAGAAACCATAGTTGCAGTTCCAAAATTTTTTTGAAATCTAATGATGCAACTGCTGCAACTTGTCTGCAACTTCTGCAACTACTGATTGATCAGCTACTTCATTCATTCAATTAAATTCTAACCAAAAAAAAATGGTGACATAATTTAAAAATCAACAATAATATTTTTCCTGAGTGAATTTTTGATGCTACACATATTAATATGTACAACGAATAATCAATTTTATAAATTAACATTAGTAATAAAAGATAATGTTTGCAGTTATGTGGTTTCATTTTTGATACTAATTCATTATAATTATAGTTGCAGAAGTCGCAGCAGTTGTAAAAAATGTCACAGGAAAAGCTGCAACTCAAGCTTTAAAATCTGCAGTTACAGAAAATATAAAAACAGCTACAGACATCAACTTCCTAATACAAAAACACCCTAAATGAAATTTACATAAATAGGCCATTTTTATAGAATCTAATAAGTCTAATATTGCTTACCTTGTGAACTCAATTTATTTATTACATGTTATTTTCTTTATTTTATTATTATAGATGGTTATAAGACTAGTTTTTCATAGTCATCAAAACTATTTTTCATGATTGCCAGAATTATTCAAACTTTTAAACTAAAATACATCAAATGGCATAGTTATTTTATATACTCTGGTGAAGCTATTGCCAAAGCTGCTTATTGTTTCTAAAAAAATTTAGACAACCATCTATAATTATAATATTAAATAATGATGGAAACTACTTTTGAATCTACAAATTTTTTTCTTTGAATGTTTTCATAACAATATTTATTCTAAAAGGATTTTTGACATAGCTATGTAAGAGGTGAATGCCTTCAAATCACATCTTGCTCAATACATCAAAGCTCACCCTTGTTTACCCTGATGGAATTTTTTTTTTCCACTGTAATGGGAGTTTGCTGTGACTGTACCAATTAATTAATTTTGCATTTTCCACCAAGATGTCTTTCAAGAAAATATAGGATCCCAATTTTTATCTAATTTGATATCTTACTGTTTTTAGACCATTCTCAAAATGCAAGGAACATAAGGGTGATTTTTTAATTTTCAGGTGTAAATTTGAATCTTTTCTTGGCAATATTCATTGTACATATTGTCATATGATATAGATGCTGTTTTATTTTTATTTTTATTACAAAAAAACAATTAATATAAATTTTTGCCCGGATTTTTCACATAAACTTATCTTATCTAAAAATCACTGTTCACATTTACTTTATAAATCCGAATTCTATCAGTAAAATATAATCCCTGTGTTCAAAATCAAAATCGAGGTTGAAATCCGTGTAACAATAATGAAAAATCATTAAACATTTTTTGCTAATTTCACTTTATAAATTTATTCATAACGAACCTTTTAACAATGTCGAGTCGTTTCAGAAGGTCGAGTTCTTTATTTGTCTCTAGACTTTCGAGTCGAACAACGTGAGTTTGGATATTTTTATTTTATGTTGAATAGTTTAGTGTATTACCAAGTATTTGTTTGTATAGTATTTTATTTATTTAACTTAGAACCGAAGATCTTGAAGAAACTTTCAGAGAATTTGGTCGACTAAAAGATGGTGACTATATGGAAACATTAAAATTACTGAGTTGATTTATCTTATATTTTTAACATACATCAATGAAACTTGAAATTATTTTTTTTTTAGTATATATACCAAGGAATTATTATACTAGAGAACCAAGAGGTTTTGCATATATAGAGTATCCTTTACAAGCAAGATCAAAATATCTATAATCAAGCAGTGACCTATTGCCTCTAGAAAAGAACTCGATATTTTACAAGATGCATATATTTCTCCTTGACAAGAAATCGCGGCTATATCTTTTTCCTAAAAAAAAAAGATATTATGATGAACGTGATTGTGAAGAAGCTTACAGACACAGAAACTTTTATTTACACGGAAGAGAATTGACAGTTGAATTTGCACGTGGTGATCGTAAAAGTTAGTGGCTACTTGATAGAATCAATAATCGAACGAACGAATGAATGCTTTTGATCAAACTTTCAATAAACTAATAAATAAATAAATATTTTTCCAAATTATAAAATTTAGCTCCAAGAGAAATGAGACATGGCGGTGGTGGAGTTTATCCGTAAGTTTTATGAATAATAATAAAATTTGCTTTAATTGAAAATGAATAGTTTCTTTAAACTTTTTAAAAAAAAATTTTTTTTTGCCACCTAGACGTGAACGTTATACTACACCAGAAAATTCCTATAGACCAAGGTATACAACTTTAGAATTAAGAAATTGATGATTTAATTGGAAATTTTGTTAGTTTAAACAAGTAGCTTGACTTTTTATTTAAACATCAAGATATAGTCGTAGTAGATCACCAAGTAAAAGATTTTATGATGAACATAAGAATAATAATCGTCAATACAAATCAAGATCAATATCTCGTTCACCACAATATGATAATTATAAAAGGTCAGAAAAGGAATTGGTGGGCTATTCTTGGGATGCTAAATAAATAGGAAAAGACATTTTATTTTTCATGGCTTTATTTTTTTTAACTCTTTAATTTTATTTTAGGAATGATTATTATTAAAATAAATAGATTATAATTATGTTGTTTAATATTATATATATTATTTATGACATTAACAAGTGGAAAAACATGTAATGAATGATCAATTATTTCATTAAATATTCCTGACCAGAAGAGACTCGCATTGGATCTTTTTAACATTGAGAATGTGTTGAAGAAATGGTACTCAGTATATATTGGGTGTTAATAATGGTTTGTGTGGGTTTATAGGTCATTGAGAAGAGTTGTAAAGTGAAATGAGAAGTTGAGAGCAATCTTAAACAAAGGAGTTGCTGGATGATTCTCAAATGTGTTTTTTGAATCTTTCTAATGACAATTTAAATTTAAATGCATCATTTAAAATTTTCAATGCAATGATCCAAATCCAAATAATAGTCATTAATTTTAATTACAAAAGTTTTATTCTTTATAGCAACCTAAAGGAAATATTTTATTTGTTAATTCTAAATGTGTAGCAACATATAGCGCTATTGGTTTATTTCTAATTTAAAGAATTCCAAATCATTTATTAATCTGCAAAAATAAATTATTATTATTAATTAATTGGTTAAAGAAAAATCAATAAAAAAAAGTAAGCACCTTGAAGAATTAAATTCAATAATAATTTCTAAAATATATTTTTTTATCTGGATTCGTTTTAAATTTATTAAAGATTTGTCATCTTCACATAACAACTTCTACTCAATAAATGATTCAATTAAATGAAAGTAAAGGTTGAATCAATATTAAAAAATCAATCCAACTGCTCCGACGTGATTCACTGGTACTGGTGCTGGTGGTAATGCTCGTCTACCTACAAATTTAAATATATGAGCCAAACAGCAATTATGAATCATATTTGATATAAGAATATGCCTTGCATTCTCGGAAATGAAAAAAAATATATTGTTATATGATCTCGTGACTGTTTGAGATATTGACTTAGCATCAGCCTTTTCTGAAAATCCAGTTGGGCTAATTTAGTATATTCTACATATTATTTTCATCAGTAGTTCATCAACAACAACTAGACAGGCCAATTGTCTCATCCTTTGTCAGTTTCCCCAATTTCCCTACAAATTCATAACTCATTGGTGAGTATTTTTCTCATGGTATAAAAAAAATTTTTTTTTATTTTTGAAAACTTTGCCATAAAGTAAAAAAGGCTTTATTTTATCAATTTTATCTAGAAGAATATCAACCAATCCTTCAATGATTGCTTTTCACCAATCCACAAAAGCAGGCTATAATATACAATTTCCTCAGATCATGGTAATAATTATTGTTATTATTTTATAATAAATTACATTCTCATAAATTCATTGCTGAATTACAACACACAATTAAAAAACGATCCCGGTAAAAAAAAAAAAAAGAGGACTGTTTTTATTTTAATAAATAATTGTCTCTTTTTTTCAACTATTTTTATAGGCTGGGTGGGGAGTAAACCTACTCAAAAAAAGAGCAAGTCTATTTATTTGCATTTAGAGAATCTAATTAATTTTTACCATTAATAGATCAATGAAGCCGTCGATAAATATTTTTTTATAGGCTTATTACTCAATGTTGAAGTCCCAATAAACTTAAATAGATATAAATTAAATCAAACTTTTAATAAGGAAAATTAACAAATCCTCAAGTTTATTTGTTTGATTATGCCATTTTTCTTATTCTTTCGTTTGTTAAACTCTAATGTCTTGCAAATTTCGCATGGATCTTGCAATCTATTATTAACATGCATAAATATATGTTATTAATCAATAGTTATTTTAATAATAATGTTTTTGGGATTGGGATATATTGTTTCAGAAGTTTTCTTGTTTAGTATAACAGAGTTTGCCCTTATTGAGTATATATATATACAAAAAAATTTTTCAATAAAATGTATGGTTATATATATTTTGCAATCTTTCTCCCGCATCTTTTATTCAGATGGTATTTATTGTAGTAGTCAGTTTGTCATAAACAATGCTAGCCTTTTCTTTTGAAAAAAAAAATATATATAGAGATCTATAAAAAAGGTTTATTTATATCATGTGATGGATGATAAATAAAGTACCCACTCATTGATTTACTTGAAGAATTGATTTTGATTTTTCCATTTCATCACAAATATTTTTATAATTTTGCAATTTATTTTCCATTTCTTCAACTATTTTCTCATGCTCCTCTAATATCTTCTTTTTTTCCAAGCATTTTTTTCTGATTAAATTTGTATCCATTATCGCATGTTGTTTATCGCTATCCATAGTTTCACATTCTCTTTTGACTTCAATCAACTTCATGTCTAATGCATCTTTTTCACGTTTTAATCCTTTTAATTGTTCTTCCGCTTCCTTGACCTTTATTTCCATTTCACATAATTCTTTTGTAGCAAGATCTAAATGTTCATCATGTCTCGATAATTCACCATGAATTTTTTGTAATGATGATAATTCTTCTTGAACATCTTTTTCCAACTTTTCAAAGTCTTGTTGTAGTTGTTCATTCTTTGCTCTAAGACGATCAGCGAAATTTCCAAAGAATTTGACTCGAACATTACGTGTTTGTGGTGATGGTGGCATTTTGATGTCTTTGTATTTATTATTGCAAAAAATTAAAAATAGAAATAATCACGGCCGATCGGAGATCACAAAAAAAACATTTGGACATAATTTTGCAGTGAACGTTACTCCAAAAAATCTAATAATAATGTTTCATTCTCCCCTTCCACATCAATGTTAATATTAACATTAAAATGAATGTCCAAAATCAGAGATTGAGGAATGGCAATTTATTAATGAAGATAATAATGGTATTATCTTATGTCAATCAAAATTTCAAACACCTTGCAAGCAAAGTAAAATTTTTTCTAATTTAACCTTCAAAGAATTCTTAACAAAATTTGTAAAGCAAGTTTGAATACACATACCTACCTCAAATTGTGAGATTCCCCCCGATGATTGTATGATAATCTTGATGCGAGTGTCAATAAAAGCAGTACTTTCAGCCTGTCGTATAATAACCAATATTTAAGCTAGCATTTTGTTTTAATAGTCGTTTGAAAGTTTTAGTTTGGCTTTACATTTTTTAATTAGTATAAGAAAGTTATTTTTTTAGTGAAAACGGAGGAATTATTTTTTTAAGAATGGGAGTTGATGACTTTCGTAATGTTACACATATTATTGGCCACATTTTGCTCTCCAACTTTCATACCCCAATTCAAGTGTAATTTCATAAGTGTAACGTTACGAAAATTGTCGATACCCATTCTTTAAAAAAAAATTTCTCCGTTTTCACTAAAAAAATAACTTTCCTATATTAATTAAAGAATGTAAAGCCAAACTAAAAAATTTCAAATGACTATTAAAACAAAATGCTAGCTTAAATAGTGGTTATTCTATGACAGGCTGAAAGCATTGCTTTTATTGACATTCGCATCAAGATTATCATACAATCATCGGGGGGAATCTCACAATTTGAGGTAGGTATGTGTATTCAAACATTTTACAATGTTTGTTAAGAACTCTTTGAAGGTTAAATTAGAAAATTTTTGACTTTGCTTGTAAGATGTTGAAATCCTGGTTGATGTAAGATCATCTTCATTCATACCATAAGTATTGGCAAATTTGCAGATCACTGAAATAATTGAATAGTGAAATAAAAAAAATAAAAAACAATTCAATTTTATTATCACGATCACTTTTGTGTATTAAGCAAAAATCAATTTCCATAATTATTCACAAGTTTTATAATGTTTTATTTACAATTAATAAATAAAGAATGTGCACCATTCTTTGATATATATATATATATTGTAATGATTCATTAAACATAAAATTATTTATATCATTTTTTCATTCAATAATTAAAACCCAATCATCAAGTTTAATAGCATAATAAAAAATGCATGTCATGTTTGAAATTTAGATTTGGACGCTTTTTTGGCCGAATTTAATTAATTCCAAAATTCTTAATTTTTATTATTATTTTATTTTATTTATTTCTATTTTTTTATAATCTTTACTTTTATTAATTTTATCCGTATTACATCTATTTCGTAATTTATTTAACTTTTTTAAGGAAGAATCGTCTTTCCAATATTTCAATTTTGAAATATCGGCGCAATTTTGAAATATTGTTACAATTTTGAAATATTATTACAATATTGAAATAACTTTTCAATATTGAACGGAAATTTCAATTTTGAAATATTAGAATTACTAATTAATTGAATTGTATATAAGGAGCTTGAATTCAATGTACTTGAAAAGTAATTTTCTTACAAGTTAATTAGTTTCGACTAAGAAAAACTAAATAAATAAAAATAATAAATATTTTATTTTATTTAAAACTTTTATCTTCCTTAAACAAAATTATTCGCTAATAATAAAATCAATTCGTTGATAACCTATTCATTCTGATCCACACATAAACAAAAATAATTGTTATCACCCATTAAGACACGCTCTCCCAAATTTAATCGGTGACAATATTGGGAAATAAAAAAATTAAAAATGTGAAATTTTTGGGATTATTGAGTTGGATAACCTTTAGATTTTTTTACAGCATCTATTCTCTTAGGCATACTATCAACTAAATTTGCCAATGTCTCCATGTCAATTCGGTATTATTCTTCTTCCAGGGCAGCAAAAAGATCATATTTACTTATAGGAATATTCTCATGTTTTCTAAATCTTCTTTCAAAGCTCAAATTTTCTATTGGATTTAAATCTGGATTAAAGAATATAATTATCTTGTTTAAATCTGTCACCGATTAAACTTTGGGAGAGCGTATTTTTAATTGGTGATAACAATTATTTTTGTTTTTGCGTGGATCAGAATGAATAGGGGATCAACGAATTGATTTTGTTATTAGCGAATAATTTTGGTTAAAGATAAAAGTTTATTTAAATAAAATATTACTATTTTATTTATTTAGTTTTCTTAGTCGAAACTAATTGACTTATGAGAAAGTTACTTTACAAGTACATTGAATTCAAGATCCTTATATACAATTCAATTAATTAGTAATTCTAATATCCCAAAATTGAGATATTCTCTCAATATTGAGAAGTTATCCCAAAATTGAGACGATATCTCAAAATTGCGAGGATATCCCAAAATTGTGAGGATATCCCAAGTTGATTCTTTCTTAAATAAACTACGACGTTATACAAATAATTAATAAATAAAATATAATAGATAAAATAATACTAAATTAATAAAGGTTATAACTAAAAATATAATAATAATAAAAATTAAGAATTTCGGAATTAGTTAAATTCGGCCAAAAGAGCGTCCAAATCTAATTCCAGTAACAAATTGTTTCAACCCTGCCTGCTCTGAGATTGAGCATTATCATCTGAAATACCCATAACTTTGAAAGGTTCAAAGATTGAAGAAGAGGTAATAAGTAATCTTTGAATATTTTTTCATATACTTCACCTGTAATGTTAACATCAAATTTATAAGTGGACCAATTTGATCTTGAGTAAAGCATCTCCATACCATTATTCCAGGTGAGTGGGCAACCTTAGGTACTAAACAATCAATTTTATATTTCTCATGGGGTTGTCTCCAAGCCCAATTTTGGGAGTCATTTGTCAAATATAATGAATCTTGATTCATCACTGAATATGACTTCATTCCACTCTAATCAATCTTTACAACATCTCACAAAATGACAACATTTCTTTCTATTTACTTCTGATATTAAAGGCTTTCTTTCTCCTGCACATATATGGTAACCCATATAAATTTCTTTGCACCATTCTTGTACTTACAAGCCTTATTTATCTCATTTGGACAACTTTCACTAAAGCATGTTTACCTCTATCTGAAAGTGACTTGGGTTTCCCACTTCTCTTATCATTTTCAACAGTTCCTTCTTTATTATATCTTTCTAGAATATTATATATGGTTATCAATTGCATCCCAAGTCTTTTGCTTATTTTTGTCTTACATCCCATTTTCAAGCAACAACTACTTTTGCATACACAACAACAAATAATTCTCTAATTTTAGTCATCTGATTTAAATGATTTTTTTGTGAAATGATATAAAGATCTAAAAACAATTTTATAAGTGTATGTTTATTAGGGATCCAAAATTTCATGTGTAACAAATTTTTCCTAGGGGTTGGCACCGTTAACCATTCAACCGTGGTTAACCGGGAATTACTCGTTTATTCGTTTTATTCATTTTGTTCGTTTTGTTCGTTTTGTTCGTTTTGTTCGTTTCATTCGTTTCATTCGTTTCATTCGAATAGAAATCCTAAGGACGTTCTATTTTTTCAGTTCATATATAAAATTCATCGTCTCCGCAAACTTTTAAACTTTTATTGTTTCAGGTTATAAAATACAACGCCATTGAGTAATTAAGCCTGTGTCTCCAGAAAAAAACTCATTCACCGGTTGTTATTAGATTAGAAATTAGTGGGTTTGGTTCTAAATAAGCAGAGTGCAAAATTAGAATACCAGGAACTGCCAAATAGTTTTAGCCTAAGCTCTAAATAGTTCGGTTCGGTTTCGGTTTGGTTCAAAGAGTAAACCGAACCGTTCGGAGCTTTAGAAATTATACAAATTCAAGAAAAATATCTAAAGACCTTTTTTCAGAGAAAATCCAGATTTTCAAAGTACTATTTCCAACCTTGGTTGAAGGATGAATGTGTAGTTCGATATATCTTTTTTTTTCTGAAATAAAGAATTATATATAATAACGCAAAAAAGATTAGCAAGAAATGATTTTTTTTCCTCAAATTAATCATTTTTCATTCCCAATTAACAAGTCAATTGGATCACATCTCCAAACAAAATGCCCGGTCAGTATGGTAATATCTTGCAGAATGTTACTATTACCAATTGTTAAGTGTAACTGATCTCTTCCCTTCGGTCTAAAGATTAAAAGCAAGAGCATCAACATCTATATATATCGATCCAATTCAACCTGACTTCACTAACTGATTCAAATCCACAGTGTTTTTTATTTCTACCCTGTCAGCAGATAATATGAACTCATTCTTTTTTTACGTTTTCATCGATGTTCTCCTTTTCTAATTGTTGGATGTACCTTTTCTCAAAATCTTTTTAAAACTGATATTTAAAATATTAACTTGGCTAGAAAATAGTGATCAAAAAAATTACATTATCTAAAGTATATGAAAAGTTCCAAATTTTACTATATTTTAATTTTAATGAAATAATTAATAAATTATTAATATCACAACCATCATTTTCAAATTTTCTTTGCAAAACTTATCAGTTGAAAATAAAAATAAGATAACCTATTACTTTGTGATTTTGTGTAGATCAATTTTGAAATCATGTTTAACAATTTGAAATTCTCTCTAAAAAATTTTGCCAATATTTGTAATAAAGATATCAGTAGAAATTATAATAAAAATATACATTTAAAAAAGAAAGTCTTTATAAATAATAATTATAATATTTTTATTAATCAGAATCAATTACATTTTCATAAAAATAATGTTAATTTGTTAATTGAAAAAGTCAATTATAACAACAAATATATCCATTCATCGTTTTTCAATTATTTTGATAAATCTAACATCATTTACAATAATGATGATAGCAAAAGTAATGATAACGATGGTAACAATGATTCTGGCAACAATAATAATACTGTCACAAACACTACTAAAAGTATAGATGTTGACACAAAAACCACTAGCAACATTGCAGAAATCACCAACACAGCTTCATCTTCGTTGTCTTCATCACCACCAGCAGCAGCATCAGCTAATGATCAACAAAATTTAGATAGACGTCTATTAATTTCATTTACATGTAAAGTGTGTTCTCACCAATCAACAAAGACGATGTCAAAACACTCATATGATCATGGTGTAGTGATTATACAATGTCCTTCATGTAATAATAATCATTTGATAGCTGATCATTTAGGATGGTTTCGTGATGGTAAAACAACTATAGAAGACTTGATGCTTGAAAAAGGTGAAAAGGTTTTGAAATTTATTGCAGATGAGAAGTTTGAATGGAATTCTGAGACAATTGGGAAGGGAAAATTGAGAATAAAATTACAAAAAAATTCAATCAAAGGAAAAGGTCAATTTCCTGAAGATGATTAGTTACTAAAACTGATGTTGGTTTTTCTGTTACTGTTGATTAAAAGAAATTTTCTTGATTGATTATCTGTGAAAATTTCAGAATGGTAGACCATTATATATTATTATACTGCGTATATTTATTTAGTAATAATTAAATTTAAAATATCATTAATGTCTGGCAACATCAAAAATTGGTATACTTGTTGTCATAGTAATTAATAATCATTTTTGCAATCAATGCTCTTTTTTTAATAAAATTATATATCATAAATTTAAAGCTGTAATAAAACAAAAGAAATACATCTTTAATCATCAGATAATCACCCAATCATCATCATCTCCTTCATCACTTTCCAGATAATCTCTGGGTAATTAATTTCATTGTGAATTCTTTGGAACCTCATTCTTTATCAAAAGTTACTAATTAAAAATATCAGTTTGAACAAAATATATTTCAATAAATTATATTAACTTGTTACAATTATTAAATACTTTAAACAACCGTTTATTCAACTCATTATATAGAGGATTGATAAGTTTTCTAAATCTTGACAATTTAAACCAATTGATTGCTGTCATTTTGACTACAAATTTTTCCATTTATTCTAATAATGTTTAGACAATTATGACAAAAACAGAAATGACTTTTTTTCAATATCCAAGTCTGATTCTTTTATTTTTGTAATAAAAAAACATCCTCAATTTTGTATAATGGTGGATTATTGCTTAATATCGTTCTTCTGTCTGGTCTTATTTGATCCAAATCATCATGTTCTTCGAATCTTTGCCTTGTTACTTAATCCTCCTAAGGAAGGATCTATAATAGTCATTGACGGCTAGGGTACTGTGAATAAATTACGATTTCTTCTTTCTCTATTAATGCTTGAATCCACAATCCCTTATAATGTGCCCTAGTTGCCCGCAGGAATAACATTTCTTTTTTGGATCTTTGTTTGTCAAGTTGTCAATAGTTCTATCCCGTGATAATAGAACCTAAATAATTGATCCGGATTTACCCTTGAAATAAAGAAATACGAGGCCCACTGCTATCAATTCGGGATAGTTATCTTTCCAATTAGAATTTGATAGTAAAGGCAGTTAATAATATCCAGTGTGATGAGTTCAAGATATTTAATTGCATCTAGCAGTTTATTTGTAAAGATGAAGATAAAAACAAAGGTATGCTTTGCATTCAATAGTTCTAACAATAATTTAATTATCAATCATGAATTGAAATTTGGGTTTCTGTATCAAATCAAATGGTTTTAGTCCACACAACCTGCACAAGCGTCATTGATTAATTTTTTGGGAGAGCGAATTTAATTAAATCAGTAGATCATGAGGTCAAACCAGGGTATTTACTAGCAATAGTTTTGGGTATGATTTGATTATCAAGTCGAAACTCGTTAGTTATTATGATTATAAGAATCTAATTTTTGTTTGCTCTTATGATTTGATTGGCTGATCATTACACATCAAATGCAAATGAAAATCATTTATTTTTTTTTTCTAACAAAAAAATAAATCAATAAAATGGTAAATCTAATATTAATCAACTAATTAATTAATAAAAAATGAACTAGTTAATAATATATATTAGAAAAAAATAAAAATATTCTAATAAACCAAATTTTGTAGGGTATTGACATTAAGAAACACCACGTAAGAAAGAGGAATAGAACAGAACCAAAAAGTGAAGATGTTTATCTCAGGTTATTAGTTAAGGTAAATTAGAATGAGCGAGTGAATAATGAAAGGAACAAACAAATAATTTGGTTCAAATTAAAGTCATTAACACACACAGATATATATCTTACATTAACAAATAGCTTTATAGAGTTTTAGCGAGAAGAACAGACTCTAAGTTTAATAAAGTGATATTAAAACGACTATTTATGTCACGAGTGAATAGACCACCAATTTCAATTTCTCGACTAATTTGTAATTTGGAAAAGCATTCAGGTAAAATTGCAGTGGTAGTTGGAACAGTCACAGATGATAATCGAGTATTAGATATACCAAAAATATCAGTTGCAGCGCTCAGAATAACAAAAACAGCTAAAGCGAGAATTTTAAAAGTTGGTGGCGAAGTACTCACACTAGATCAATTGGCTTTACGTTCACCAACCGGTTCTAATACTGTACTCTTACGAGGTCCTAAATCTAGAGAAGCCATTAGACATTTTGGGATGGGTCCACATAAGAACGCCAAGTATGAATTTTATATTATTATTATTATTATTTCATTAATTTTAATATTATACTAAAAAAATTTCTTTTTGATTAAATAATAATGACAATCAATAAAATTTAAAGACCTTATGTTCGTGCAAAGGGAAGGAAATTTGAGAAAGCACGTGGTCGTAGAGCTTCTCGTGGTTTCAAAGTTTAAAATTAAATTATTATTGATTTTATAGCATTGTAATTATCATTGGATTGTTACATTAATAAATTTGCACATTTGCAGTTTTTATCACTAAATTAAAAATTCATAGGCAAAAAAAAACTTAATTCAAGTTTTGTTTGTTGTAAAAATATATGTCTTATAAATCCTTATTGCATCAAGATAAAAATAATTTGAGAGCTAACTTTTTATTTAGATTTTTGAAAAAAATTAAGGAAATTTTCAAGGTTCCAATATTTCAGGAAGTTTCAACTCCTTCCATTTCTTCACTTGGAATTCCACTAAACATATACTGTTCTTGATACTCTTTTCATTCAAAATAAACTGTGAACACGCTAGCCTATTCATAAACAAATAAATTAGGAATCATAGACTAAATTAGAGAATGGATCATCAGATTCTATATCCAAAGACTTTATTTCATCAATTACTTCCTTCTCTTCTTTCTCGTCATCATTATTATTGTTTCTCAATGGTATGAATAATTTATGTGCGTGCAACATCATTCTCCAAGTATCAGTATAACAAAGATTTTCGCATAAATTTTCATAATGATAGTCTCCTAATATAGGATGTTTTAAATATAAGCAATGCAATCTCAATTGATGTCTTCTTCCTGTTATTGGAAACAATTGAATTAATGTTACTGATATTTTATCATCATCATCATCACCATTATTTAAAGGATGAAAATATCCTCTTTTAATTACTTTAATTTCAGTTTTTGCTTCCTAAAAAAAATGCAAGTTCAATTAGTTTATACATTTTTTTTTAGTTAAACACATCTATGTGTATAGTTGTACCTTTCCAAGATTGTCCTCACTACCAAGACACATTCTATATCTATTATTAGGTACTTCAGCTATAGGTTGATCAACAATATAACTATTATCAAAAAAATAATAAAGTTTTTTAGAAGAGAAAAAATTTTGTTTGTTGTCAATTTTTAATGCTCACTTATCATCTTTCATCCAATTTCTAACAATTGCCAAATAACTTTTTTTAACAGTTCTTTTTGTAAATGCCACGCTTGCTAATCTTGCTGAAAGTTTTGTCAATGCTAGACAATAACAACCTGATGTTGAATAATCCAATTGATGTACGTTACGTAACGGCTTTGGTAATGTTGGATCATAAGAATATAATAATGATAATACTATATACATATAATAAGTAATCATATAATAAGAAAATGTATAGTAATTTGATTTATTTGTACATACCAGTTGGTCTTTTAGAAGAATCGCCATCAATTTTTACATCATAACTTTTTATACAATGAAAAAAAAAATCGTTTATTGATAATATTAATGCAATTTTATTTTATCTTTTGTAAAACAATCAATCTTACGGTTTATCGATGACCAAAAATTCTTCATTACGAAACAAAATTTTGATCTTTGGTATATTGATACGAAATTCGTTATTTAATTTACTATTATAACGATATGTTTGAATTCTTGGATTATTATCATTAGTGGCTTCCATTTATAACGGTAAATTATTATATTTTTTATATTTTTGCGTGCATTTCAATTTCGATAATTGATCTGCATAGCTTTTTATTAAAATAAAATTTTAAATATATAAATTAATTAATATGATTTCTATGCATAATAAGATGGTGATATTAATATATCAGAAAGAAGTGTTAATTGTTCTTCAGTGAATTGTTTCGTATCTTCGTGCCAAGAATCCTGGTGCGTCCTTCTAAAATCTGCAAATGTTTTCTTTACAGTTGTCTAATTAACAGAACAATTATATGTATATGTATGTATATATATATATATATATTAAATTTAAGGATTAGAATTATTTATGTAAAAAAAGTTTTTTTATAAAAAATGATAGAAACAATAATTACTTGTATTGGTACAGGATCAGATATACAGTTCGCTAATTTTACAAGAACATCAGGCATCCATTTTGGCACTTCATATGGAAATGCATCAATTAAACATGAAAGACCAAGTACACCAGCATGGCGTGTAAGGATTGCCTCTTGAAAACCGAGCGGAAGGGCTGCACGTGGTGCTTGATTTGTTTTCTTTCTTGGAGGAATTTTAGTTTCCAATAGTTTTGAAAATTGCTCCTTTAATATGAAGGAAATAAGGTTTTTATATTTTAACATTTTTGTTAAACTTTAAAAGCATTTTCATTATCATTATCTATATATCTAATATACACATATATACATACTTTTAAAGTATCGATTGCATCTCTCTGTGAGCAACGAATAAGTCCCGATAATGTAACTGCAGCCAATTGTCTCACCTTTTATAAATGAATCATAAATAATTTTTAATATTGCAAAAATAAAAATATAATACAATAAAACTATTGTTGATATACACTCGCTCACCTCTATTTGGTTGTCTTTTAACATTCCGGAAACAACATTCATAACTTTAATCATTTCTCTTTTATTTAACATAAATAAATGTTTGAAAAAAAAGATTTGCAAAACAGGTAATGCTTTTACTCTGATACGCCAACTGGATGATTCGGTCAAAATTTCTAAAAATTTATCAATAATCAATGGAACCATATCTGGCGGATATGGAAATGAAGCAATTATGTTTAAAACAAGGGTTGATACTGTTTGTAGATCTTGATCATCGTTAACATCTTGCATTTGAAATATTGAGGGCAATAATGGCAATATCAAATAATAGGTTCCAGATGCTTGCCATAAAGTAAGAGCATCATACAACCATGCAACCACTAATAATAATAATAAAATAATAAAATTGGTATCGAATAATTATTATTAGCATTAATAACATTGAATGAATGTATAGATGTATGATGTATTTAGTCATGTGTTTGTATAATTTACCGGTTTTGCCAGCATTTCCATATTCCGATGATCCTTCTGAAGCTGGTTTCTTTTCTGTTTTCCAAATCGCTAATAATCTAACTGATTCATCCAATGTTTGTTTAAAATTTACATCCATACTCATGGGAACATACCCCATGCCATTACCACATTTTATATTACTCTCTAATATTTCATCAATGTTTGATGCAGAGGGATGCCATTGTATTTGTAAAAGCAAGTTTATATTTGCTGCAATCACATCACGTACTTGTTTATAAGGATGCCGAAGATTTTCAAAATAAACTTCAAGTAATGGTTTGGATTTTGGTATCATACGCCATGAAAATGAATTAAATAAAGTATTCACAAAAGAAAGTTTTTTTGCTTCAGCAAAAGAAGCATGTGATGTCAAGTCGACCTTTGATTTCAATATCAGTTCAATAATAGGAAGAACACGGCGAGGGTCTCTATTTCTCTGGTAAAAAAATCAATTTTATATATAATAAATTTTTTAAATTAATTTAAAACAAATTCAATAATAATAATTATCGACTTGTTACCAAACAATAGCCAAGAAATTTTTCCCAATATATTAATGAATCTGGTGTGATTAGATTAAATGTATTTTCAAGCAAAGGAATCAACCAACTCCATAAACTTTTTAAACTTTCCAATTTCCAATGTTTACTTCCTCTCACAATGCCAGCCATAATTTCTGACACTGCTCTCTGCTGATGCTTTTCCGTTGATTTACACAATTTTGTAATTTCTGGTATAATAATTTCTAGAAATGAATCTTCGTACATTTGAAAAATACTTTTAAAAAGATTTGCATTGATAACGGAGAAAACATCTTCTCTATCACGAGTAGATTCCTGTGACAAATACAGTATAAATGAAGACCAGAAACTATTTTCAGAAAATTTCTCAAGCAGTTTAAGATAAGCTGGATTAGATAAATTATCAACTGCTGGCATAGTGATTGAATTGGTACGTGGCACATAGTACTGAAGCTTTTCAGGCCAAACATACCAGCCGATATTTGTCTTATCCTGTAATATTCTATTAAAAAAACCAAAAAAGTTATGAAAATAATTTCGAAATATTAATTAAATCTCAAAAAATTTTTTTGCTACAAACAAGTTTTTTGCATCGTTTTCACTTTCAATTGGAGTAACACCAGATTCTAGATAATTATCTGTAAACCCAGTTGGGAGTGGAGACTTTACATAAAGCGTTTTCTTTAGAGGATTAGTTGATTTTCCCAATGTAATAAGTTCAGGATCACCCTCAAGAAATGTTCTTTGTTTAATATGAAATAATATTCTTGTAGTTGTTGAAATGGCAATACGTCTCATTGCTGGAAGTTCTGAAAGTAAATTATTCACAGCAAATTCGGCCAATTCAACAGATGTTGGTGCCTCCGGTCTTACTAATAAATCTAAGAAATTTGCTGCCATAGAAGCAAATCTCCAATGAAGATTATTAGAATTTACCAAACCCAAAAGTTTATCAACCTAATCAATCAATCAATAATTAATATACTGTTTTACTAATAAATAATTAATCAGGAATTAATGATTTTTTAATAATCATACAAGTTCAAAATAACTAGTCTTTTGCAAATCCATTCTTTGTTTAGTTTTACGTGAAATCCTCTCATACTTATCCTCGTCAAGTTTTAATGACAACGTATCCAAAGCTCGACAAATTGCATCATCTAAACTGTCAGTGAGAATTGTTTTGAATGCGGTGTTATTGTAGTTCATAAGATATTCATAAAAGACTTTACGTATCATTTCTTGAATAGAAGGCTAAATAATAATAAAAGTTTTAGCCTCTTTAATAAATACGTAAAAATATATAATATCATCAGAAAATAATGTCCCAAAATATGAATTCTATGATAAACCTTATCATTGTGTTGTGCTAGACAGATCCTAGTTATAAATAATGGAACAAATCTCCAATCTCTTAAACAGGTATACATATATGTCCTTGAACCAAGCAAGTACAAAGCACCCTTCATTCTCTCCGAGTTTGAATGTTCTAATAAACGAGTTTAAGTTAGTAAATTTAAAATTGATAAAAACATAAATAATAATAACGGCAATGAGCATAAACTAACCACCAGGCTCCAGAGCTTTCAACAAAATTGGAATTATAAGTGGTTTGGCGCCGATAAAGCATCTTGATGCATTGGTAAGGTAGGATTGTGCTATCCTAACATATTTATTAGGATATTTAAATTTGTAAATTGTGAAATTGATTAAAATCCAACCACAAATTAAATATTTTAATTATATTACCTCCTTATTTCTGAATATGAACTTAATGAAAGTTCTGCCAAGTCTTTTAGTAAATCGTCATGTAGTTTTGCTCTACTTCGGCCAAAAGAATTCTGTTTCAAACGACATAAATGTTGTTGATATGTTCGTTTTACTAAAAAAAATTATGTATATACATAGATATATTAAAAAGAATAATTAGGAACTAGAATATTTAAACTATATTTACCCAACAAATATCGAGGATATTTTTTATCGTGATGAGGAGTTTTTAACATTCCCTTTGAATATTGATATCCGCGTCTAACAGAATCGAATTTATACTTTTCTACACCTCGATCTGTTAAATATAACTTGGTCATCTAATCAAAGGTGTAATAAAATATATATAAATAAATAAATAAATAAATAAATAAATAGTCATCATCATAGAAAATACAATTCTAACCTTCAGAATAATTTTTAAACTATCAACATCATCTTCTCGTTTAGTACGGAAATAAGTTACAAGTTGATGAAGAAATTCTCCAACTTCCCTACGTAAATTTCGTGCAATTTGTCTTCGTGGATCATTTTTATCTGTAAAACAATAACCTACTGGTATGCTTTTTGTTGGATAAATTGCTTCAGTGTCCTCGTCTCTACAAGGTCAAAAACTTGTTAAATACATGGTTTTTTTTTTTGTTTAGAAAAAACTTTGAGTGTGCTGAGAAATGTATGACATCTTCAGAATTTTTACTTGAAATCAGAGTCTTCAATTTCACCATCATCTTCTACTAAAGTTGTCATTCCACTAATACAATTTCTGATAACACTTAATCGACGACAAAACTCATGTGCCATTTCTCGATTACTTAATACTGTTCCTTCCTCGTCAATTCCAGTTTCCATCAATTCTTTAATTCGCTTGATTGTTGGTTGTAAAAATATATCGAGTATTTCCATTGCAAAATCAAGTTCTTCATTGGTTGGAACATGCCAATTTATATTGACGTTATTCAGATCACCTGGTTCCATCCAATATTTATGATGGTTTTTTTGATAATCTAAATGATCAAACTGTATGTCATTATCATAAACTTTGTAATAGCAATAATAACAATATCATTCAATCAGATAATAATAAACATAATAAATGCCTTCAGAATTCCAACGTTCTATGTCTACAGTTCTAAACTCCAAAGGATAGGTGTGTGTTAATGCAATCAACATCATTCTCAAGAATTTCCCTGTCCACATATATCCTTTTCTTGACCGACACTTTTGTACCATCTCATTTGCCAACTCCAACAATTCTTTTTTATGTATAAGCAAATCTTGTCCACTAGTCATAACCACATGATATAAAATACATTGATACCAGTGAAGGGTTGTGTCTGATTGAATATGATGAGTTGATGATGTTGTTGGTGTGGAGGAAGCGCCATGTTGAAGTTCAACTGAGATGTTTGAATGACATAATGGAATGAATTGCGCAAGTGCTTTTTTTTTATTAGCATTTGTTAAAGTTGAACATAAAAAGCCTAGAATAATTAAATAAATAGTTGATCGATTGATGATGATCAGTTAAATAAATTGACGATGATTTTAACTGTACAAATTTAAATTTTGAGTTATACCCATTGGTTTTATAGCATTTTGTAAAATAGTTGTTGATGCAAAATCTATAACCATTTTTAAGGCCATGCTTTGAAGATGTTCTGACAATTGATTTCCAACTATTTCACATGCATGCTATAACGAAAAAAAAATAGAAATAGGTTTAGATATAGATAAATAAAAATACAAATAATGAAATTTAATAATTACCAATAGAACAGTAACCAAGCCAGTTTCCATATTCATTTTGCTACGTACTTGTTGTGGAAGATATTCAAACTGCAATTTTTAGATTGATTTTTTCGAGTAAAGGGAATTAATTGGTGATTTAAACATACAAAAAGACAGCTAAAGTATATTATTATTTTTAAAAAAGGATACTATAGTAAAGATTCTTCTATAAAACTTTGCCAGCCATTCTTCAAATTCTGAAGTACCGGCTTTACATAATGCATTTTCTTCTTCTCCATCAATTTCCATTTCATCCTTTTCTCTCTCATAAATATCTATGCCAGTCCAACGGAATCCAGAACTAGGATCATTATTACCATCTGTCAAATCACTCAATGGCACGCCCATTAACGTATGGGTAACAAATACCAAGGAAGATATTGTTTTGATTGGATCATTCATATCAATACCAGGAATTATTAGATGAAGAAGAGGCGCAAGATGTTTTCCGCCGGCTGGGTATTGAGTTCGTGAAAATAATGGGATAGCTAGCAGTGAAAGTGCTGATATAGATGATGTTGTTCGATGTGTCTTTTTCCAAAAAAAAAATTTTTTTTTTTTGAAAATAATTAATATAAAAAACATTAAAAGAATTTATTATTGTATAAATTATAAATGTATATACCTCGGTCAAGGTTTCTAATGATGGATATACGCGTTCCAACAATCCAGGAAAGATCAACGAAGGTTCCAACCCTATATCATCAAAAAATCATAATTGTAAATAGGTTATGGAAATATAATAATTATGCATGTACTTGATATTATCAATTAAATCAATTAATCAATCTAATTGTTTTTTAATTTGATAAAGATACAAGCTAAATATTTGAGTGACGCTTGACTTGATCCAACAGACATAGCATCTTTTCCAAACATAGATAAAAAGGTAACGCCTCTTAACGTTAGAACAAATTGACGTCTAATTTCTGGAGTTAATCGCCGTGATACTGGTGTTTTGCAATCTGACTTTTGTTCTAAATAAAAAAATTTTGAATTGGTCAAGTTGTTTATACTACTATTATAACGACGACAACAACAGTGGTAAATATTGTTACCGTCAGTCCATCTTTTTAAGAATTCCCAACCAAGATATTGTAGAAATTTTACAATTGAATAAGTCCATCTTCCAAAATTACTTGGATGATAGAATGATTCAATAGCTTGAATCATGTTAGCCAAATGTGTTAAAGTTGATTCCTCATTTTCGGATGTTGTAAACATTGTGTAAACAATGAATCTTGCCAACATTTTAAATTTATCCTATTAAAGTTAAAATTAATTTAATCATTAATCTCTAATAAAAACTATTAAATAAGAAAATGAAGATTACCCCTCTTTTCCTTAATAACATAGCACTACCAGCTCTAGAGTCGATCCTTGAAGATGTGCTTCTTCCTAAACTATTATTACCAGTACTAGTGCTACCCACAGGCAAATCCATCATTTTTTGACCTGAACCAAATATTGTTTTGGCCTGCACTTGAGTAAAAATCCCAATATTTTTTGGATCGGTATTTTCGACCACAACATTATCTTCTGCAACACGAGCCATTAGATCGATAAATTCTGTTTGGAATACGGATGATCCTTGTATAAGATACCAAAATGAAAAGATTGTTGGAAGCCAATCTACTGGTGACAGATTTGGTGGTGCAGTTGGAGTGGTAGGCAAAAACCGTACAAGGAACGCTTGTACGGTAAATGTATCTCCAATTGAATTAGCATGGAATAAAGGCAAAATCTTTGAAAGAATTTCTTTTGTTGATTCTGGGGGAAAAAATCTAATAGGTAATGATTTTGAAAGCCATATTTATTTGCTTATATATGTATGTATATATATATAAATTGTTATTTTATATTTTTATTTTACCTTTGAGCATGTTCCACTAAACGGACAATCGACCCAATTTGTTTACTATTAAAAAAGAATCAGATAGTTAAGAATAAAATTGAAAATAAAGTGCACACATATATATATTAGTATATAATGCGAAAACGACACAAAGTGCAGCATGTGGCATCATGCGATTCGTGTAAAAATATAGGATACGATTCACTGACTAAAGTTTTTTGACGACTTTTTGGAAAAAATGTATTATGAATTTTATCATATAATGGTTCCCAAGGTAAAGTTAAATCCTCAGGACCGATTTTATCCTTTTTTCTTTTTTTTTTGTTTTTGGAAAAATGATTTGAAAAAAATTATATTAAAATTATTATTAAAAAATATAAAAAAGATGACGATGAACTAATAATAATAATCATACTTGAGTAAGCGAGCACAAGTATTTGAAAAAACCTCAGCATGTGATGCATCAATTCCTGGAGTAATAACTAATTCAAAAAGCACTTGGGCTAATTGAACTCGAATTTGGCATGATAATGAATAATGAAGATCAAGATATCTATAATAAAATTTAAATTCGATCAAAATAAATACATTAGTAAAAGGATAATAAATTTAAGTCTTTTTTCAATGTAGGACAGGTTGGTTATATTTTAAAAATGCTAAAAATTCGATATCAAATAAGCTTGCAATTTATGCAGAATAAGAATAAATCTCATACCCGTTAAGTTGTTTAACCCAATGGCTACAACCAGTGCCCCAATCTCTGGCTTTTGCGGAGGCACATAAGTTTAACACTATATCATTTAACAAAAATTCAGCTTCATCCTTTATTGTAGAGGAGTAAGGAAGATTTTTGGTATACATTTTAATGGTAAAATTTTTTTTGTGAAAAATAATCTAATAATTTTTATACAATTTTGACTGATAGTCACAGATCTATATAATTAATAATAAGGAAATTAATAACACGTAATTGGTATTTGGTTACGTATATCGAGTTACGAATGCTCGCATGTATTACGAATGTTCGAAAGCGTCGACAGAAATCATGTGTTCATGCTTTGATAAGCGAATATACACGATAAACCGATGTTGCTTTATTATTTACCTATTAAATTTATCTATTGACTCGGTTTAACGAGTTCTGACTGTATATATTAATTATATACGTTTTATGAATCCCATTACAGTCGTACTTCTTTTTATATCCCCCTTGTTTATATAAAAGAGGTATATATGACTGTATATCATATTAATCGATCGAATTCATATTTGGTTAAAATAAATGGGTGCAGAATTTTGCTAACCAAATCTAGAAATAATAATGACGTTCGAATTCAATCGGCGGAATCTATGCACGCTAATCAAATTTAAAAATTAACTCCAAATAATGTCTAAAACTAGACTAGCTTTATTTTGAGGCGCAGCCTAATGAATATTTCATATACTTAATAATGCTTTTATAAAAAGAAAGATATTTAAGTATTTATTAAAAATTGAAGAATATAATTAACAAAAATCATGGTAAACATTATAGATGAACAACAACAATCAAATAAAGAATTATTAAATGAAATTGAACATTGAAAAAGCAATTAGTCAATAAAGAGGAAGAACTAAAACTAGAAATTTGACATGTGACAGGTCAACCTAGTGAAGACAGTTATTCTCCTGGTCATTGGTGATACATATGGCCCTGAACGAATTGAATTGAATCGAATTTGAGAGTGATTCAATTCAATTCAATTTGATCTGTAGTCAATTCGATTTGATTCATGACTTGATTCAAATTGATTTGAATCAAACCAGATTCCTAAGATCTTTCAGTTTTGTATGAAAATAACAAGAAAATATTAATATAATGCATAATAGCTAGAAGATTATGTGGCATTCATCATAAATTGCAAGAATGTATTTCCCATGCAATGTAATAGGTACATGTACCTATTAGTTTCTATCTTTTTTTGTTTAAACCTTCATTTTCCTCATCTGAATCCTCTAGTTTTCTTTTTCTGATTGAATAAAAGAACAAGTTAATTCGCATTGTTAAAAATTCATAAAAAAATAGAGAAAAAGATTAATTTGGTTAATGATGAATGAGTAAAAAGCTATATTATGCTATAAGAACAATATATAAACGAAATGGAAAATAATTTTTTGTATATTTTTTTATGCAATTTGTTCATTACTTTTCTCTCCACCAAATTCTATTAATGCATCTTGAAATCTCTTCGCCTGCTCCCATCTCTCATCTTTTATCCTTCATCAATTTTTCTTTTTCTTCATTCAACTCATCCTTCTCACCAGTATAATTTTCCACCGCCCCTTTCTTCAATTCCTTCAACCCCTTTCCCACTCCTCTTCCCACTCTTTCAAATTCTCCTTCGCCTCTTTATAATCTTTACCCCTTTGTTTAATTCTTGCTCTATTTTCTCGATAGTTGTCATTTTTTTTTTAAGAATTAAAAAAAAAAAGTTTAAAAAATTAATTTTTTTTTTTGATAAATTAGTGGACACATGACTTGGAATTTATTTACGAGAACATATCCACCAAGAATGGTTTGCGAAATACTTTTCAGGGCGGGGAATTATTTCGTCAAACCGTTGTTAATTTCGTCGCATTTAACGAAATGTGACGAAATTGACGAAATTGAAGTTGACCAATTAAACCAACCATATTGATTTTATATATATCAGTATAGTGAATGATGTCACCAAAAAAATGATTTAGATTCGGAACCCTTTGTCTTATCATCATGATAAAAAAGAATTGAGAATAATCACCATGGTAAATATCCAACGTTACTCTAAATATTGAATTGCTATATAAAATGTCATGTATAACACAATTAATAAAATTATCAAAACACTAGGTTCTCAAAAAATGTACTTTGAACATATGCGTCGATTTTGTTTGAACCTCAAAATCCAGTATGGTATGATCTAAGGTTGTGGACGAAACTCAATTCGACAGAGTTTCGGAATGTTACACATTAATTGTTTATTAGAGTTTCGCGTTGGGGAGTTTTGTCAATTGTCAGAGTTTTGACAAGGTATATACTAATTGTTCATTAAAGTTTCGACAATCGCTAAGAGGTTTCTGCAAGCAACCTTAGTATGATCATAACGTTATGAATACCTTATACTAGCAATAATCCATTAATTTTGAGATAGTGCCGTTGGTTTGAAGAACAATATAGTGCGGGAATCTCCGATTATCTTGGAACTAGGGGTCCGAACAATATAATTAGAGTCATTAGAAGAGCTGGTGGGTTACTAGTATAAGTGAATCACATTAATTAACCAAACTCAGATCGCACGCTCACATTATCAATTATATTAATGCCAACTAAAAAGCAAATGAGAAAAATTTAACATTATAAAAAAATTAAATCAAATCTCGAGTAGTTTTAGTTGTTAATATTGCTATTAATACACACATATTTACAACCACCCTCAGTCTGTATGATATTACTGATCTGAAACCTTTTCTTGGTCACCCCTCAAAAATCACTTTTTTATATCCATCAACTTGGTACAGTTCCTTTTAAAATTAATTCTTCATTAATTTTTCAATATTAATTGTGAAAAAATAATTTATTGGCTAATTTCAATATTTGTTATAAAAAAGGTAAATCAACGAATCATTGTAAAAAGTCATTACTGAAATCGGTACAGATCACTATATAAAGGCACTCTAATCAAATCATAGATGAACGAATTTGGGATATACTTTTTCTATATAGAGGTGCTCTAATAAATTCGGACAATACTTTTTTTTTCATCTATTATACTATATTAACACATATGTAGATGTACTCCATGATGACTTTTCTAAAAAGACGAATTCGGGATATACTTTTTTTTTCATCTATTTATAAAGTGTATGCCATTAAGGTGACTGCATTTTTTAATAATCTGAATGGGCGAATATAAACATACATACGAAATCTTTTTTTTTTATCGAAAAATAAATTTTTTTTAAAAAAAAAAAATTTATCATTTACAAATTTTTTCATATGTACATTGAAAAAGTTTTTATTTATTAAAAAAATGGAAGGAAATCATAATTTTAACTCATATGATGAAAAGAATATTGATATTATAGAAGTAGTAACAGTATTGAATACAGAAAAAGATAAAATATCAATTACAAAAGATGATAATTATAATTTAAATACAGAAAAAGATAAAATATCAATTACAAAAGATGATAATTATAATTTAAATACAAATGATATAAATGATGATGCTATTCAACAACAAAATGATCCACATATTATTGCTAAAATAAAATATAGTCCTAATTTAAAGTTTTTAGTAACTCATAGTAGAGACGATTCATCTATTGTTGAATGGATCATTGATGACAATGGAACTATCCAGCCAGATAAAGATAATTGCTTTAAATATTCTAAAGATGATTTTAAAAAAAATGATTATTTTGATCTTTCTATAGAAGATGTTTCTGATGACAAATATATAATTTTAAATAATAGAGGATATTATAGTAAGCAATTATTAATTAATTGATATATGTATTTTATTATTATAACAACTAAATAATAAATATTTAAATCATTTAAATTAACTTTTTAGAATTCCTTGACTTTACAAAAAAAAAATACATTAACTTTATAATTAATGATGGATATTTTATTACAAATAATGATTTATTAATGATTAAGAAGGAGGAGTATGGTAATGATCCTTGCAATTTATACAATTTTTCATATGTGAGTGATGATGACAATGATGCAAATGATAAATTGGTTCATAAATCAACATATTTTTATAATTATCATTATAATTATCGTTATCTTGGGATATTTGTAAACTCTGGCAATTTTCTAATTGGTTCTGAGTATTTATTTATATCACAATGGAAGGGTGTAGCAATGTCATATCAAGATAATTATTATTTAGTATATGAACAAGATACTGATATTATATTTAATAAAGATAAAACAATAATGGCAGTATATTATAAGTATCAATCAACATTGGTTGTATATTCATTAAAAAATAATATTATTATTTCTGCAAGTAAGTATTTATATATTCTTATTATTTGCATGTTATACTAATTTATAATTTAATGAATATATTTTCTATTTTGTAGCCCAATTGGAAAATAATATTGGTATGGAAAAATATGATTTTATCTATCCAACAGATCAATTAGAATATTTATTAATAATATATTATGATAAAAACAAAGAAATTATAAATTATAAATACAAATTAATGGATCCTTATAATCTTGGTGATTTTATGGATATTACAGAGTATTTTACAAATGAACATGAAAAAATGAATTCATTTGAATCAATTTTACCACATGGTAAAATAGCCAAAGTTATAGACAATCAATTCTACATTAAAGAAATAATCAACAAAGAAAAATTAGATGGTATTCAACAAAAAATACCTTTAAAGAGCAATTATTATTTACATGCAATACAAGAAATATTGGAAAGGTTTTATGAAAGACCAGCAAAATTTACCAGAGAAGCTGGAAAATCAATTAAATGGTTAATAGAATATGATAATGAATTTGAAAATATTAATATAAAAGCACAAAAAATTAATGATGGAATGAAAGAAGAGTCATCAACAATTGATGAATATGATCTTGAATATTATGAAGAATTTAAGTGTTGTAAAGTATTAAATAATGATGATTTAATTTTATATACATATCACCATATACACATTTTATCAGTTAGCAACAAAGATTCCAAAATATTCACAAAATTTATTATAGATAAAGAGAATATTACATCAGCTATTAAGAATATCAATACTGAAGATTGTTTATTTGATTTCAATAGTATTATTAGACATATTAATGATTCATATATT